GGCCCCATAGAAGGCCCCACCGACGGCCCAAGTGGGACCGCCCGCATGCGTCATCCACCACCCAGTACCTCGTTTCGTGGCCCCATAGGCGTTTCCACCGAAGGTCCCAGTGGGACCGCCCGCATGCGTCATCCACCACCCAGTACAGCGTTTCGTGTCCCCACAAAGAGCTCCACCTAAGGTCTCCGTGGCGGAACTCGCATGGCGGCCCAGTGGCGGAGTTCGCATGGAGGCGAATTTCGATTTCCGGAGGTTTTTCGTCGTATTCGACGTGTTGATGCCGCTTTCGGGCCGCGCATCCCGGGCGGGAGCCAGCCTGCTCGCGCTCTCTGCTCCGCGCAGCGGACGACACGCGCGTGTCGCCGGGACCCCTTCGGGGTGACCAGCGCGCGTCGCGGGGACTCCGTGCGGCGCCGCGCCCGCAGCCTTGGACGTGGGCGTGCACGGGCAAAGAGAGAAAAAGAACGGGAAGGAAGCGGGCGCGATCCTCGTGAGAGGCGCGCCGACATTGGCGTCGACATTTATGCACGTAGACTCACGCGCGCGCAGACTCATCCACAATCAGACTCACTCGCTCTCAGTCTCTCGCACACCTTTAGTCATCGCTCGCGTTGTGTGCCCCGCCACGCATGTCGGCGCGCCCCTCACACGGTTCGTGGCCCCATCGGGGGCGCGGGCGATGATGATATCCATAATCGCGTTATTCACAGCTGCATATGGTCGCGTCCTTCGCCAGGCTAATTTTTGCGTCGTCCTGAATCCCTGCAGGGGGACAGGCCCGACCTAAATTTGGGGTGTTTCAGAGATGCGGGGCCCAAGCATACACACCACCACCACCTCCCTCATCCCCTTTTTCTTCCAGAAATCACCACCCACCAAGCCACCTCAACCCAACTCAAAGTAAGTCGATCAGAACACACATACACACACTCAGCAACACGGGACATAATACCAGGGGACCAGTCGAACGTGATCAGCCCTCCATTTCCAGTGGGGGGGGTCGGGGAATAGCGAGAAGACCCGTATGGAACCGGTTTCCCCCAACCCGAAATTCGGGTCTTCGAGTTGGGTTGAGGTGGTCTGGCAGGTAGTCAAGAAAAGAGGAGAGGAAGAGGAGGGTAGAGGAGGGGAAGAATCGGCGTGGTGGTGGTGCATACTCATGGGGCCCGCAATCAAGGGCCTCGCTCTCGAAGGGTCGAGAGGTTGCCGGCTCCTCTTCGGCGGGAAGCGGCGGACGCTCCGGGCGGGCAGAAGTGCAACGAGGCCGCCTCCGCCAGTGGGAACATCTGCGTCAGCAGGCATATGTTCGGATGCAACTCCTCGGAGGTCAAATTCTGATTCTGGCATGGTCCCAAATTTGGCCCAGTCCCGCTTGATCCGCGGCCTGATCCTCCTTAATCCATCCTCGATCAGTCCCAGCGCAGCAGCCCTCCCATAGGGCCTGATCCTCCTTAATCCATCCTGCGAAGACCTCCCAGTAGTTGCCTCCTAGCATGTGCAAGATATGTAGACACTATGTGGGGGGGGTCAGGGGCTCCGGATCCCGGCACGGAGGGAGATGGGCCTGGAGTTTTGTCCGTCGTCTTCGGTCTCATCCGTGTGTTGCGGGGCCGTCGAGAACAGGCCAGGATAAGGAATAGTTCCTGGGGGGAGGCCCCAGAGTCCAGGGCACGTTGCCATCAGGGCTTCTTTTCAAAGGTGCTCTTCGGCCTCCTACAAGTTTCGGGTAGGGGATCGACTACAGAATCGATCTACCCAGAATGGATGTATCGCCGAGTCTATGCAACGTGCGTAGACCGCTCCGCAGATCTACGGAGCATTCTACGCATTCGTCAGTGGCCACGAAGGGAAAATCAAGCTTGGGGTATGATTCAGATCTGTCGTCGATCCCCTCACTGTTCGAAATCTCAGCTCCCTGTCGAGACTGGCTGCCGCTGCTCTTGCCCCTGGTGCTCTTCGCCCTTTCCTCCTCGCCCTCCCCCTTGTCTCCTCCCCCCCTCGCCTTCCCGCCATGCCTCCCTCCCTCCCTCCCCTCCCCTGGCCTCCCTCGCTCCCTCCCTCCCATCCCTCCCATCCCCTCCCTCTCTCCCTCCCCTCCCCTTGCCTCCACCTCCCCTCGTCTCCCGCCCTCCGCTGTCCCTCCCCTGTTCCTCCCTCCCTTCGCCCTCCTTTCTCCTCTCTCCGCCGCCGCCGTTACGTCGTTCGACGACGACCGCCGCTTTCGCTGCACCCGTCTCCTCCTCCTTCCTCCCTGCCGTTTCTGCCGTTTCTCGCTCAGGCAGCGTCTTGTCTTGCGCCCGCGGCGCGGAGCGCGCCGCAGCAGCCCACCAGGGCCGTGCGGGCACTCAGACGGCGGCCCCGGGAACCCGACCCCGAGGGAGAGGGAGGACCAGGGACCATTGAATACCTCGGAGGAGGGGAAAGGGGCCGGGTTTTCAAAAGAGAGGGCCCGACAGGGCCCTTGGCAGGCGCTGCGCGCGCCCGCGGCCGCGCGCCCGCACCCGCGTGCGCCCGCGGCCGCGGACGTCAGTCGCCCAGGCCGTCGGCCTCTTCGTGGGCCGGCGGCCGCACGGCGGCGGCTTCTCGAAGTTCACGAACTTGTGGTACTGCTTGACCCTGTAGTACGTGAACCTGTGGTACTCGACCCAGTCGTGCAGGCCAAGTGGTGCTGCTTGACTCTGCAGTGCTCGAAGCGGTGCTTCTCGCTGCAAGCGTGCTAGGTCATCGTAGTACTGCTTGGCTCCGTGGTTCACGAGCTGTGGTACTCGACACAATCATGCTGGTCGTCGTAGTATAGCCTGAAACTGTGATGCCAAGCCTGTGGTACTCGACCCAGTCGCGTTGGTTGATGTCATAGTGCTTGTATCAGTTGTCCTCGATCATGTGGTACCCGACGCGGCCGTGCTGGTCGGCGCTGATGTCGGGAGGTGGCCGTAGTGTGGATGGTCGGTTGAGGGGCTCCCCAGCCCTTGTAGTTGCTTGTCGTGCGTGCTGGTTGATGGGTCGTTGGGAGGTCGGCTTGTTGCTGGTGTTGTGGTAGTGGTCGTGGGCGCACATATGAGGCCTCCATGCACCGACTTCGAGTGGGGGCCGTGGCTGCCCCACCTCGTCCCGCTATGGCTAGGGGTCACAGTGCCCTCGGTGGGGGCGAACCCCAGGCCTGGTGCATATTTTTGTCGGAGTGGGATGTCTCGGCTGCCCTGCGCTTCGCCCATGGGCGCTCGGGTAGCTCCTCCTCCGTCATGGGGATGGTGGGGGTGGCGAGCTAGGGCGGACCGCGGGGGCGCAGGTAGTGGACGTCCTGCCCCCCCCCTGCCCCTCACCATCCCCCCTGGTAGGCGCGGGTAGTACTCGTCCTTCCCCCCCACCCTTCGAGCCCGTCTCGAAGTTTGATCCATGCCTCACCAGGGCAGCGTTGACTTGTAAAGAGGTGTGGTGGGCCGTACAAGGAATGTGGGTGATTGTCGGTCGGTGGTGCAGCATGGTCGTAGAAGTCGCATACCGTCAGCCAGCTGGTAACCACTGAGTTGTATACGTACGATCACCGCCTGGGTACATACAGCAAAACGTAGCGACTTGTGCCTGGGGTGTTCCCACGCATTCGGGGCTTCCCCAGGGCTTGCGTCCTAACACCTCATGAAAAACTTGGCGACGCTGCCTGAGGTCTTCCCACGCATTCGGGGCTTCCTCAGGACTTAAGTCCTGACGCCATAGTGCTTGTCGTCGAGGACGCTCTTCGCCACGGACTGCCCTGTGGTACCCGCCGTGGTCGTGCTCGTACATGTGGTGCTCGACATAGTCTAGCTGGTACAGGTGGCCGTGCTTGACTCAGTGGCGCCCGCACCTGTGGTGTTCGGCACAGTCGTGCTGGTCGACATGGTAGTGCTTGTCTCAGCGGTGCGCGAGCCTATGGTACTCGGCTCCCACAAGCCCGTGGTACTCGAGTCAATCTTGCTGCCCATCTGCCAAGAGATAACAGAAGCACGTACAGTGATAGATTGGGCGCTTTGCTGCCTTTGCCCAGGGAAATAAATACGCATAAAAAGCCAATGCCAGAACGACTGCATGATAAAACCAATAAGTATAACAATAAGAATACTGGAGGGGAGGCACGCTCCGTCGCCTTTGAGGGATCGTGCCCACCCGTATGGGCGCTACGGGTCCCCCCCCTCGAGGATGGCACGCCATCGCAGTCCATGAAGAAGCCATATTCGCTTATTCACTCGTTCGTGCTGGTCATCCCTCCTCCCTCCTCCTCCTCCTCCTCCTCCTCCTCCTCCTCCTCCTCCTCCTGCTCCTCGTCGCCCTCCTACGACCGCAAGGATGAGCTACATTTCTGTCAGTGACTAAATCTCACCACAGTGACTGGTCGTGGGAGGAAAAAATCCTCCTTCTCCTCCTCCTCTTCCTCCTCCTCCTCCTCCTCCTCCTCCTCCTCATCGTCATCGTCATCGTCGAAGTCGTGGTCATTGTCATTGTCACCGTTGTCGTCATCATAATCCGAATCATAATCATTATCGCACCCTCCTCCTCCTCTTGCTCCTCCTCCACCTCCTCCTCCTCCGTGCCATCATCATTATCATTGTCATATCGTCCTCATGCTCGTGCTAATGTCGCTCATCCTGCCCCCGTGCTCCTTGTGCTCTGTCTGCTGTTCCTGCCGCTGTTTTTGCTCATTCACGCCCTCCTCCTCCTTCTCCTCTCCTTCTGTATCCTCATCCTTCATTCCTCTTCCTTCTTCCTTCTCTGCCTCCTGCTCCGCTCACCCGACATCGTCCATCTTCTGTCTCCTCTTCATTCCTCCTCCGCATCCTCCTCGATCTTCCACCGCCTGTCCCGGAGACCATGGGCAGTCTCGCAGACAGTGGATGCCAGTGTCGCGCAGCGACACCCACAGGCGCGAGAGAATGCGAGGTTTGCATCTGCCAACGTTTCCGCGGGCCAGCTGACTTGAACTGAACTGTCTCCCCACCTTTCGCCCGATTCCGCTCGGCATCCAGGAGAACCGCAACCGCCTCAAGCACAACACGAGCCTCTTCGGCCAGCACAGCAAGCTCCTCCTGCGCCGCGCCAGCAGCTTCTGCGTGAAACTGGCTGGAGCCCAAGAACCAACCAACCGCGCGATCTTCGATCGCGATCGCAAGGATCACCGGTCGCGGCCAGCTCGACTCGAGCGCGCGATCGGGCAGTCGATCCACTGCGCGGCCTGCCTGCGATCCGCGTTCTTGCCACTGATGGTCGGGGGCGTAGTCGGATCGAGTGAGTGGTGGGGATCGTGGATGTGGATAGGGGAACGAAGCATGACAAAACACAAAAAAACGGAGGTCCGCGTGGACCTCCGAGTTCTTATGTGTATGTCATTCTTCGTTCCCCTAGTGGAGCGTCAGCGTCGGCGACCCTAGCAGAACAGAAGATCATTAAGGGCGGGGTTCAGACTGGGACGGCGAAGAGCGTCGTCTTCTCGCTCTTGGGAACCAGCCTGACCTTCGCGGCCACGAAGAGCGATACCGATGTCACCGGCTGGCGTCTGGAAGAGAAGCCAGACGGGGAGCTCGAGATCGCCATCCCGCCCCAGGCGCCCATTGGCACTTACACCGCCGAGGTCGAGCTCGGCCCAGATACTAAAACGGCGTTCCCCAAGCAGGTCGTCATTCTCTTCAACCCATGGGGGGAGGCTGACGATGTATATCCAGCTGCCTCCGGCAATTCCGCAACCGTGCCAGCTCAGCATTCTGGGTGGCAGCTACTCGAGAAGGCAAGGTGGCCTGCTGGGGACCTTGGGCCTTTCTTGGCGCCGTCTGGGGGCCTCCATGGGCAGTCATGGGCGCCTCGTTGGGCCGTCGTGGCGCCCTCTTGGGCCGTCTTGGGGCTCTCTTGAAATTCGGCCTCTTGAGCCGTCTCGGGGGCCTCTTGGGCCGTCTTGGAGCGTCGGAAGCTCGAACATGCGAGAACTTATTATCCCGGCAAAGCAACCTAACAGCGATGTGTAGGAGCATATCTGGAAGCATTCCCCTTCAGATTCAGATGAGAATCCAGTTGTAGAATTTTGCTGTTCTCGCAGTCGTAGTCGCATTCGCGATGACAGTCGCAGTGGCAACGGCAGTCGCAGTCACAGCCTCAGCCTCAGCCTGCCTCAGCCTCAGCCTCAGCCTGCCTCAGCCTCAGCCTGCCTCAGCCTCAGCCTCAGCCTGCTTCAGCCTCAGCCTCAGTCTGCCTTCAGCCTCGGCCTCAGCCTCAGCCTGCCTCAGCCTCAGCCTGCATCAGCCTCAGCCTCAGCCTCAGCCTGCCTCAGCATCAGCCTGCCTCAGCCTCAGCCTCAGCCTGCCTCAGCCTCAGCCTCAGTCTGCTTCAGCCTCAGCCTCAGTCTGCCTTCAGCCTCGGCCTCAGCCTCAGCCTGCCTCAGCCTCAGCCTGCCTCGGCCGCAGCATCAGCCTGCCTCAGCATTCAAAATGTGGCCCAGGAATGGAGTTCTGGGAACTAGAAGAACACGAAGTGGCCTACAGTTGGCTCCGGGCATTCAAAATCATGCCCAGGAATGGAGTTCTGGGAACTTGAAGAGCACGAAGTGGCCTACAGTTGGCTCCGGGCATCCAAAATGTGGCCCGGGAATGGAGTTCTGGGAAGTCGAAGAGCACGAAGTGGCCTACAGTTGGCTCCGGGCATCCAAAATGTACGCCGGGAATGGAGTTCTAGCAGCGCCAAGAGCGATTTTGCGAGGATGTCCCAAGCGATTTGGGTTTCGACGGCAGCCGCGCCGGGTCCCGCCCCGGGTCCCGCCCCGACCCCCCCTGAGGAGTCATGATGCTTTCTTTTGACCCCACTAGAAACCTATCAGTCTTCGCTGTTAGGTAAAAACGCATGGAACAGTGAACGGGAAATCAGCGGTGTTAGCCTGACGGGACGCTCTTGGGGGCCTCGTGGTGGATTCACTTGGCTCTCCTGGGCCCTCCTGAGCCCTCTTGGGGCGGAAAGCTCGAATTGTTGGTTCGTGTTCACCCTCTTCGGCCCTTCTTGGGCCGTCTTGGGGCCCTCTGGGGCAGTCTTGGGCGCATCTTGGACCGTCGTGGGGCCCTTTTGGGCTGCCTTGGGGCCCTCTCAAGGACCTCTGAGACAGCTTTGGGGCAGTTCCAGGTTGGCTCTTGGGTCGCCCAGGAACGTCGGAAGCTAGAAAAGGCGAGACCCTGAAAAACATTTGAAACATTAACCTGGCGAAGGATCCAGCCATGTGCACTTGTGAGCACCGTCGTTGTATGCACCGCATTCGGAGGAGCTGCCTATAGGGCCACGAAACGTGTGAGGAGTGTGCCACATGTTGTCCAGTGGGCGCATGCTATCGCAGCCACTGGGGCCGTCGGTGGAATTCCTCATGGGGCCACGAAACGCGTGAGGGGTGTGCCGAAATAGGTGCGGTGGGCGCATGCGAACGCAACCGCTGGGGCCGTCGGTGGAGCTCCCTATGGGGCCACGAAGCGTGTGAGGGGTGTGCCAAATTGGGTGTGGGGGACGCATGCGGGCGGTAGCACTGGGGGCTTCTGTGGAGCTCCCTATGGGGCCACGAAGCGTGTGAGGGTTGTGCCAACTTGGGTGTGGGGGACGCATGCGGGCAGTAGCACTGGGGCCGTCGGTGGAGCTCCCTATGGGGCCACGAAGCGTGTGAGGGGTGTACCGAAATCGGAGTGGGGGGCGCATGCGGGCGGTGGCGCTGGTGGCTTCGGTGGAGCTCCCTGTGGGGCCACGAAGCGTGTGAGGGGTGTGCCAATTTGGGTGTGGGGGGCGCATGCGGCGGTCCCCCTGGGGGCTTCGGTGGAGCTCCCTGTGGGGCCACGAAGCGTGTGAGGGGTGTGCCAATTTGGGTTTGGGAGACGCATGCGGGCAGTGGCACTAGGGGCTTCGGTGGAGCTCCCTATGGGGCCACGAAGCGTGTGAGGGGTGTGCCAAATTGGGTGTGGGGGACGCATGCGGGCGGTGGCACTGGGGGCTTCGGTGGAGCTCTCTGTGGGGCCACGAAACGTGTGAGGAGTGTGCCAAATTGGGTGTGGGGGACGCCTGCGGGCGGTGGCACTGGGGCCTTCGGTGGAGGTCTCTGTGGGGCCACGAAACGTGTGAGGAGTGTGCCAAATTGGGTGTGGGGGACGCATGCGGGCGGTCCCCCTGGGGGCTTCGGTGGAGCTCCTTGTAGGGCCACGAAGCGTGTGAGGGGTGTGCCAAATTGGGTGTGGGGGACGCATGCAGGCGGTCCCCGATGAGGGCTTCGGTGGAGCTCTCGATGGGACCACGAAACGTGCGAGGGGTGTGCCAAATTGAATGTGAGGGACGCATGCGGGCGGTCCCCCATGAGGGCTTCGGTGGAGCTCCCTATGGAGCCACGACACGTGTGGGGGCTTCGGTGGAGCTCCCTATGGGACCACGGAACGTCGTACTGGGTGGGTGAAACGCAGGGAGGAAGGAGGAGGGGGAGGAGGGAGGAGGGGGAGGAGGGAGGAGGAGGAGGAGGAGGCAGAAGGAACGCGGGGATTGTCTTTTCAAAGCGAAGACCCAACACCACAGGATGGTTTGGAAACTAACCGAAAATTGATAGTCTGTGCCTCTTGAGGCCCTCTGGGGACGGCTCTTGGGGCCTTCTTGGGAGTTTCTGACAGCCTCGTGGGCTGTCTTGCAGCCCTCTTGGGCCGTCGTGGGGCCAACGTGGCCCGTCCTGGAGCGACGGTGGGCCGTCTTGGCCTTGGAGGCATCTGGGCCTCCGCAACGCGAATCTGCCGTATTCTGCGAGGGGGTGTGGCCTCGGCAAGAGGGGGCGACGCACGCACCGAAGAAAAACATCGCCGCAAACTTGTGGCGCTCCGCGCGGGGTTTCTTGCATCCGCGCGGGGGGCCCCGGCGCTGCCCTCGGCGCGCTCCGCGCGGCCAGGGAGGGGGCCCAGCGCAGATCCAAGAAGTCCGCGCGGAGCGCCAACAGTTTGTGTCCTTTCTTCTTCTAATGCAGCCTGGCCTTCCTCCGCCTTTCGGTTCCTCTCGCCCCCTCCTCCCCCTTTTCCCCCCTCTGGGGCATCCCCCCTAGTCGTCAGGCGTCCTTGCCCGCGCTCGGCCTTTCAACCCCCCCTTCCCCCCGGCATTTGGCCGGGGCGGCGGGGCCGGACAGGTGGTGTTGACGAGATTGCTCTTCTTCTAATGCAGCCTGGCGCTTCCCGCGAGGGTGGTGGTCCCCCCTTCGAACATCACAGAGACCCTGCCGGGATGCACTTGGCATTCTGGCACGCCCCAGCGCGCCGGGGGGCACGGTGGCGGATCTTGCGGGCGAGGAGAAGCTCGGGGAGTACGTCCTGGAGGATTTGCGGGACAATACGCGCATACTCACCCACATACGCACCGACGCCAAGTCAACAAGTACGGCAGCAGCCAGACAGAGCTCGCGAGAAAATTGCGCGTGCGCATTCTGCGAATAATTTGTTGAGTTTGCTTCGGCCTTTCTGAGGTTCCCGAGCCGCTGCGGCTAGGTCCGGCTTGGGATGGCGATTGGAATGATGTCGGGATGTCGGGAAAGGTTCTGGGGATCGATTTTGATAGGGGCGTCTGGGGCCCACCAAGTAACAACCGGTACAACAAGCAAATCAGGACAATCATGCATGCATTGCTTGAAAGCTCATAGGTGTGGAGGATGATGAGGAGGAGGGTACTCAACTTCTGGAGGAACATGAATCGTGCTAGGAAGTGGTGGTAAAGGCGCATGGAAGCATTGAATAATGCCAGCGCGTGGAGCCCACTTGGATCACGAGTGACTAGTGTAATCACGGTGCAACTTGTGGTGTGCAATTTGCGGGAGCAGTTCTTGTTGTGCAGTGATGAAGTGCACCCCGTGTAGAGAGCATCAGGTGGTCTGCAACCTGGTGGTTGCGGTGCAACGTATGGGGTGAAACCAATCACTTGCTCAACTTGAAGCTGTCCTCTCCACTGCTCGTGCAAACATCCCACCCTCCCACCCGCAACTTGGTCGCAAGACTTCTTAAGACCGTGACAATAGGTACCAAATGGCACTTGGCAACGACACCAACGCCGACGACGCCGCCGCCGACGACGACGCCGACGACGACTACGACGACACCGACGACGACTCCGACGACTTCGACGACGACGACAACGACGACACCGACGACGACGCCGACGCCGACGCCGACGACGACGACGATGACGATGCCGACGACGACGACGCCGACGACGATGACGATGACGAGGAAGACGACGACGACGAGGCCAGAGAGGACGACGACGACGACGACGACGAGGGAGGAGGGAGGACGACGACGGTGACAACAACGACAACGACGAGGGAGGAGGAAGGACGGCGACGACGCGAACGACTAAGAAGGAGGGAGGACGGCGACGCCGACGACGACAACGATGAGGGAGGAGGGAAGACGACGACGACGACGACGACGGCGACGAAATAGGAGGGACGACGACGAGACGCCGACGACGGACGACGACGACGACGAGGGAGAAGGAAGGACGACCACGCCGACAACGACGACGGAAACGACCATGACGCCAAAGAGGACGACGACGACGACGAGGAAAGACAGAGGACGACGACGGCGACGACGACGACGACGGCGATGAGACAGGAGGGAGGACGGCGACGACGACGACGCAAGAGCGCGCGCGCACGCTTTGTTGAAAATCATTGTTGCGAAACCCTGTGTTGTTGTATGTTTT